TCTCTCTCTCTCTCATTTCCTTTCAGGCGATCTCTCAACAAGACTTGGTTTATATGGCCATCCAGATTGCATGTGGAATGAGCTACCTGTCTCGCAGGGAGGTCATACACAAAGACCTCGCCGCCAGGAACTGCGTGTAAGTGTCCCTGACCCAGCTCAGCTTTTTGTCCTCACTTCTTCCCTGTAGCATTCAGGTGATTTGATTTTCACTAAAATATAAAGAGGCTGACTTTTCTCTCTTGACACCCCTCGGACAGCATTGACGACAACATGCAGGTGAAGATCACAGACAATGCCCTCGCCCGAGACCTGTTTCCCATGGATTACCACTGTCTGGGGGATAATGAGAACCGACCAGTCCGCTGGATGGCCCTGGAAAGCTTGCTCAACAACGACTTCTCCAGTGCAAGTGATGTTGTAAGAACTGCAGACATATAGATTTACTTCTTGCAACTCAACCATGAAACCCTATAATTAACCTTCTCTTTCTCTCAAGGGTTTACTAAAAAGACAAAGCATGATCCAGAGAAGGTGATGCAGGAAATGGCACCAGTTGTATCCAAGCCATTCTTAGACGCTGGTCAAGGTGTCAGAGGGAAGGGAGGAGTGGTGTTTTTAGCACCATGTGTCTCTAGCTCTTCCCTCTTTCCTGTCTCAGGATAGCACAGCAGGCGCGGCAGAGACAGTCAGGAAGCTCAACAGATCCTTAGAGACACCACTGAGACACCAGACAGACATGCCCCCACCTCTCCACATTCCTCTTATGTTCACGTCGCTTCATGGCAGTCACTCCCCTCCCCTAACACATTTACAGTTAACAGAGGCCTGGCACTACCATTCAACTAAGCTTTTGGGGAAGTCCAGACAAGTACGTAGACCTGTGTAGCATCATCAGAGCATCACACATGCTGCTCTTACGCACATGAATACTCCATACCCTTATGTCAGTGGTTACGCACATTGGATACCAAGCTGGACAGGACGAGAAAGTGACTATGGACATGTTAAGGCCTTGTTGGGAATGTTGGCAGTGAACTGGGCACTGATGAACAGGGTGACTTACTGTATATCGCGTTTTTCCTCTGAGAAGCCCGCCCTGTGTCTTCAATCACTCCCTTCACTTCCTTTAAAGGTTATGACATGCTAACACAACAGAAACTTCTCTGTTCATAAGTCACTGTCAGGTTGATTTATTTTAGATAAGGATTAGCATGACTCCCAGTGCAGTGCAGGGTCAACTCCTACTGTAAGCACTTTGGTTTTACCAGTGACCTTAGATATGGGTTAATAATAAAATCAGCGTTAATAGGGAAATGCTTCGCTTCCTTATCCCGTCCTGTGAGGTCAGATTGAATCGCCCGTACAACAACACATACAGGGTGGGCCCTTGCTGACATGGGAGCTCAAAACGCCCAGTCTCCCTAAACGGCCGCCCTACTGTTTACTTTCTGTGTCTTAACAAGAACTTGCAGCAATGATGTATATCCAAATAAAAGTATCAACATCATTTCCTCGTATTGTTCCTGTGGAACATTTTGTATTTGAATGCAAGCGGGCATCGCAGGCTTTCCGCACTCTGGATAGAAATGGTGGTTATGTTTATCCTGTGTGATGACAGCACATTAAAGACAACAGCTTGTGTTGATTATGTTTAGAAACTGTTGTAAATGAATGTTCAGTACTGGTCACACATGTTGTGTCTTCACAGTGGGCCTTCGGAGTGACTCTGTGGGAACTGATGACTTTGGGTCAGACCCCATATGTGGACATCGACCCTTTTGAGATGTCAGCCTACCTGAAGGATGGGTACAGAATAGCACAACCTATCAACTGCCCAGATGAACTGTACGTACAAAACACACAAGCACGCACACGCACACACAAACACAAATATGATCTGTACATTTTCAGATTCTCTTAAAAATTAAATAAAATGTTATAGTCACTCTCAGGACATCAGAACGTTTGTATTTCTGCTTATCTTTATTGTTATCAATAAACACATAATGTATGTTTTTAGACCTCTGCAGTAAAGGATGTGTGTGTATGTTCAGCTACAGCCAACCTTGTTATTGCAGATTTTTACTAAACGAACTGTTGGTGACACATGGTTTGTGTACCACAGTAGTTGTTGTGAAGCTTATCAACATCCTGCAAATTTTAAGGAGGAGTAGTCTGTACCCACAGGCGCCATTTTCCCACCAAGGCATTATTATTTACAGGCTGTTTCCTCAATATCAAGTTTGAAGTGAGGCTGCTGTCACCTTAATAACTGGGTTTTTCCTGGCTCAGAGCAGGGTTGCAGTGGTGGACCACCCGGGTGGATTAGTGTGTGATGCACGATGCAATCAGTGAGCAAGTTTTGTGTGGTACTGTCAAAATCAGGAAAGATGTTACAGCCTTACCTTTTATGAAGAAATTCTGAATTATTGTTATTAAGTATCAATCGTTTCATGCTGATGATAGGCGTCTATATATATGTCCCAGTGAAGTTAAAACCCTACTAGCGCAGTCAGCCAATCTTGTTTTGATTATTTAAGGGATATTGCTAAAATCTGTCCAAAACCAAATCCACGATATATGCTTTCATGTCCTTATGAAAGGCACAGATCAGAAAACACTTCAGACTGCTAATAGAATGAGAAACAAAGAGAGCATATTATTGCCCTTTTAATGTTTTCCCTTTGGTTAGTACTTTATCACACTACTATTTCTAAGAGCTACAGCTATCAATACAATTTGACTGTATGGAATCACCATAATACACTGAAAAAGTTTTAGCTTTGACAACTTAATAATGTTTCCTTTGAACTGACCAAAAAATGTATGCCCTGGAAAACTCGTAGAGTAGTGTTAAATATCCACAAAGATAAGGGAATAATTACCTGAAATCTGTTAAATAACCGAACAGGGTTTCCTTCTAAATACAATAGGTGGTGAGGTGATACATTGATTATATCTCCTTCATTTATATCAGTGCAGTACAGGCAGCTCCTGTATGTGGAACGCAACCCCTGAGTTTTGGTCACCTTCCTTCTCTCTCCCACTGCATCCTGTCACGCACAAAACACCCAACATTGTCCTGAAACTGCTCGTAGACATACATTTGATTCGACTCGTCTTTTTTTCTTGCAGGTTTGCAGTGATGGCTTGTTGCTGGGCCCTGGACCCAGAGGAGAGGCCCAAGTTTCAGCAGCTCGTTCAGTGCCTCACAGAGTTCCATGCAGCATTGGGCGCTTACGTGTGAAAACAAGCTTCTTCTTCTTCTTCTTCTTTTTTTCTCCCCAAGAAGGCAACACTAAAAGCTGGTGGACACTATTCATAAGGAATACATGTATGAAAATGTGCCTTATCAGATGAAAGAGCAGACTTAAGCCTGACGATTTTATTTTGTACAGTTCTTTTGGAGTTTTTATATAGTTGAATTACCCTTTTACAGCATAGCAAAGTAAAAGGATTCTTTGTTGAATATTGTTTCATATGCTTTGAAAGCGTCTAGCGATGGCATTTATGGTGCTCTGCCCTTGCCAAGAGGACAGAAACAGTGCAAGGATGTCCTCATCTGTACAGCACGTCAACATTTACAGACATTTTTGTGCCATCGGACAAATGTTTTTAAGGAAGAATTGAAGCCTCTGGTTTTAAAGACAGTATTTTCTACAGTTTTGTAACTTAGTGAAACAGTGTAAATTGTAGATGTGTTGTGGACTCTACAGCAGAATGATTTAGGTACCAAAGTAGACTTAAGGGCTTCATTTGTATACGTAACCATACTCTCCAACATGCTGCTTCACTCTGCTACAGTAAGCTCCAGCTGGGTACGAGATCCCTCTTGGAAACCAGATCTGTGTTTTTTGCGAAGATTTCTGAGACCTTTACGAACGGTACACTGTTTCCTCTGGATGACACTAAAGACTGTGCCACAGATGAGTTTTCTTTTCTTCGTGGATCAGACGTATAGACACCACAGCTCATATAAGATCAGCACCACAAAGCTACTTATTTGAACTTTTAAACAACATCCGGAGTGAATTTTGGACACTATTATTATTTGAATGTCACCACCTTCTTCCTCTTTTGTACATTTTATTTCCACTATCACAACCTCCAAACAGAATTATCATTATGTTTCTATTTTATAAGCTTGATTGTTCTGTGTCAGAACACAGCCCTTCACAGGATTCTTGGACTGATTTTTTTTATTTTAATTTTTTTTTTTTTTTTTTGCGAGTAACTAGAACACTAATAATCACTGTGAACACACAAAACTGCCTACCAGCTTGGTCTAATCTTATTCCCACCTTTAACATCTTTGTGATGGTCACTGCATGTTGAATTAAGGTTGTAAACTGCTTCCCGAATTCCTATCCACAAATTAAATGGGATCTTTTAAATGTAGAATGGCTGCTTTATTTATATTTTTAACATCAAAAGCACGTGGTGTATCAGTATAGCTCCTTTGCTGTGCATTTAAAACAATATCTGCTCTCATTGTTTCAGGAAGAATGCCTGACACCATATTAATGTTTGTTTTGTACCACAAAAGCCACAGTTGAAGCCAAGTGTTTTGGTACAAGGATGTTTTTCTGTTTAGCCTTGAAAGCTTCAAACCACAGTGATGCCTTTGCTGTTCAGCCATGCCAACCGTCCACTTGTTGATAGAGAAAACATCCAAAAGAGTAAAGCTTTAACTATTAATACTTAAGTATCTGTATTCCCAAATATACGTCCTTGTGTACGTAATAGAAGAACACTGTTATGGGTTATTACTTTTCTTAGATTTTTCAGGTTTCTTTGTTGCCTCTTTAGCTTAAGCCTGAAGTTGATGTCACATGAACACTGCACTTCTTCATGATGTTGTAATGGAAAGTTATATAAAATCAAGTTTGTGCAGAATCCTTAAATCCCTTTCATTATAAGTCCTCATCCAGTTCGATTTGTTCAAATTAACACCAGAAATGTTGAGACAGAAATGTTCAATATTTCTTTTACTTTGTGTGGGCATAAACATCAACCTGATTATTTAACTAAATACTGTTTTATGGTGTTTCACTGACAAATGTTGACAATATCACTGCATTTAATTCTTCAACTTTATCTTTTTGTCATTTCTGGTGGTGCAGATTTCGTTAAATCACAAGCTGAACATCAGTGACGTGAAGTCAGGTTGAGATATTACCACAACTACGGCAGCGTTTGAAGACGACATAATTTCCAAATATCATCAGTCATTGTTATCTTGCAGTTAGTCACTGTCAGGGAACCTGTGTCAATTCTGCACACTTGTTCCCTTTCCACACTAACAGCATAATATTAGAACGCAATGCAACGCAGCCACAAGACATGTTGAGTAAGTGACATTCTCATTACCAGACTCCTGTGTCACAATACTGTAGGGTTGACTGACTTAAATGGACAAGTTTCCAAAGTAAAACCCAGAACTTCACCAGGTTTGAGGGGGTTTCTGGGTATTGTTCAGCAAATGAATTCAGTTCAACCTGCTACATGGAACAGGCACCTGTTCCTACTTGTAGCCGCATCTAAAACAAGATGGATTCCAGACTGGATTCAGCTCCACATGACTCACTTTACATCTGCTTTTATTATCATTCAGTTTCCTTATTTAATAGTATCAAATGGTGACATAACTCTGAAAGGGACCTCTTTTGTTCTCACCTTTGAGTAATGGAATCTGTGTCATTATACTATACTTGAACACACACTTGTAAATCTGAATATTGTCTTACCAAAGATCAACTCTCATGTCTGTTGCTTAGCAACACATTTATTTGACCAATGAATTGGTTTTGAATTATATTGAGGGGTAATTAATCAATGGGCAAGGCTTTCTGTGAAACCCATATCAACACTTACAGTTCCATGCACAATACATCATATCAGATTCACAGTGCGTTATAAGAGCTGCTATAATCCTTTGTATGGCATTAGGAGGTCTCATAACAACAGTTAATCACATTCATATTCACTTTATTCTAAAAGTATCTGAAGTATTTGGTGTATCAAGGTGATATCTGACAATGACTTACAATACCTTCATGACAGGTACATGTGTGTCTGCTTCAGATACCGTCCAGTTAACGTATAACTGATATTGTTCAGAATGTGCTACAAGCAACGCCTGTGACCAATGTCAAACACTCAGAGTGGAAACAGAAGTATTGTAGAAGGAACTGAGAGGAAATACTGGTTGATCCAGACCGAGCTGCACAATATCTCATCATATCATAGATGACATCAGCAAACACAAAAAGTAGTGTGTGAATTATGGATGTTTCCTTACCTGCTTCCTGAATAACTGCTCAACTTAACGGCTTTCATGTTGTGAATGTGATACCCCTTCAGCTTGTAACTGCACCTAAAACATGAACAGCACAAAGTCTATGTACTGCCAGTACAGTACTGGTATACATGAATGGCACTTATGGATATCAAACCTAACATCCTAACTGTACTGGAGGCAGAACAAAGGGGGCTAATAAGCGACGGACTCTTGGCGTTGTGTGGCGTTAGAGATAAACAGCGCTGTAACCGGCTCCCCTTGAGTACACTGAACTCATGGATTTGTTCCGGGAATTTGTGTGTGTTGGCAACCTGGTGGGGAATTCGGTCCATATATGGTATACTACAATTTAAAACCCTTTATGTGGGGTATTTAATAGGCATTATTTCTTATTAATTAAATTACTGATTGCTGAATTCGATTTAGCTGCTTCAGTTTTAGGGTCCTTGTATTGTGCATGTTGGGACACTTTAACAGAAGTTATTGGTATTGTTATAGTAACACCTGTAGCCTACTCATATCTATCTATCCATCTATTGACACGTTACAACACCGGTTTAACCTTTAGCAGTATTTAGTATTTAGTAGTAGTTTCTTTTTTTCGTTTAGCTAATTTTCCTTCACACTCAATAATAAGTTTACACAAAAGAGCTCCTCTTGTCACCTGGAATAACTGTACACACAAACATATTTTGTAGGTGAACGACAGAGCTTCCTCGGCTACATATGGCTGTCAGTGTGAGGGTCCATTCATTAGCAGAGGTTTCTCTCTGTTCTCATTAGCTTCAGGCACAAACAGCTCGGAGAGCCGCATACCGCAATTAGTGGAGCATTAAGGCCGCCTGGAGAACAAAGCGAGGCTCCACCGGGAGCACGGGAGCGCCAAATATTACACAGGAACTTTAAACCTGAATGGCATCATGCACTTCCATGTATTATCTTATTATCATGATTAACACTTTCTCACAGGTGAGGTGAGTGTTGGACAGGCTGGCGCGTGACTCAGCCAATGAGCGCGGGACAGTGTGTTCCCAATTCACAACTTTCAAAACATTTGCGCGTGGAGCTGTGGGCTGAGTCCAATTACATCACCGACGGTCATAAAGCAGCTCTCCGGCACACCGGAGGGAAAACATAGACAACCTCTGACACAAACCTCGAAAGGCAGCGGAGCTCAACTAATGGACATACATTCCTCCAAAACCATGAAGAAGCCCGGGACGGCGTGCTGCAGCAGCGTGAAGGTAGGCATCAGTGCGCCGGACGGAGGGCTGCATACTTACTATGAAAGCTCTTGTTTTAACCCGCAGCACTTGTTCCCTCGTTGTTTATATAACCACCTGATTTATTTGTAGACGATTACGTAACATTACACAGATAATACTCAAATAATAATTATTTTTTTCTGAGTATAGTTTCTGCTGTCTGTGTCGTATAAGAGTAAACAGAGCTTCACCTTAAATAAAACCGTTCTCTGTCCAGACTCAGTGAGCTTTATTGCAGATTGTAGTGCTCAATATTGGGGGAAAAACTTGAGTTACCTTCACAGAGCTCAGAAGAAAAGAAAAAAAGTTCTCCTCGTTTCTTTGAATGTTCGACATTCATTTTATGATCACTGTAAGTGACGCGCAACCGTGTTTAATGTTTAATCTGAGCGATATAGCATATATATAATGTAAACTTTGATATATATAAATTGTTTAATTATTTTGTATATAATAATTTTTTCCTGTTTCAGTAGTTGAAAGTGTTTCACAGACTAATCTTTATGCCAAATTAAAAATTAAGTTTAGGGAAAAATGTAATAATGTAATTTCTAAAACTACAACTAATATAGATTTTTTGCTATTGATGAATCTGCTGATTAGTAGAAAAATGACCCATTTTAGTGCTCTGGGGGAAATTATCAAACAGTCTAAAATAGTCCAAAGGAGCCTTGAATCTTGTTTAGCATTTTTGTTTAACAAGTCAGTCAATTGTTCGATTAATCACAGCAGCTCTAGAAATGTAATTCTCCTTCAGATGGGTTTTTATAGAGGGAAATATTTAGTTTTTTGTGTCTATCATTAAATGCATCAGTGAGTCACTTTTGACAGGCGTTTTATGTGTTTGGCAGCTGTGTCCAGTTCAATGTTTGGTATTTTTTCTGCACCTCTGGCTGCAATATTAAGAGTCTCACTGAACACTGGGCACAGGCAGAAATGTACCCCCGCTGAGTGCCAAAAGGAGCAGTTGTGCTTCACTGTATGGCAATAATGGGAGAGAAACAGTTTGTTCCAGGGCTGTGAGTAATAATGAGGCAAAACTCCATGCAGCTTGCAGCGAAACTCTGCGAGAGATGACATGTCTTCTTCATTGGTGTTGTGTTGTGTGAATGACGCGTGACTAATACACCTATATTCTGTAAGTTTGGAGACGATGACAGGGGGAACAACTTGAGCAACTTCTAAGTTTCTAGAAGGTGAAGATCTATTTGGAAAATCTTCAGTGTTTAGCTAACACATTCTCACACACACTGTGGTTTGTTCCACTTGCTGCAAATCTGCTAATGTTTATCTTTTTAAGTCTTCACTTTACAGTTGAAAACAAGTACAAATAGGGTGGAGAAAGCTGACACAGTATGGCTCATCCTACAGACATCATCATATGACCGTTTCACATGAACTCTCCATCCGTCCTTCACAGTGGGAACGAAGCCCGAGCTCAAAGCCGTGTAACGGTATATTTAGATAATGGGAGTAGTTTAGAGTGAAAGCAGTGTGAGCAGCAGGTTAATGTGTCAGTAAAGCTCTTTCTGCAAGTCATTCCTACAGCGCTGAGAAGTGGAAGCAGAGGAGTACATCTTTTAAATTGTGTTGCGTCAAACTGTAACGCTAGAGCTCTTGATTACTGTTGGCCTCCTGCATAGCGAGTGCAACAAAGGAGTAGAACACTGGCCTGGTTGCTTCTCACATGAAACAAAATCACTTTGCACTCGGCTAAACAAGCCCATCCATCTTTTCTTGACGGCGGTACATGCTGTACAGTGCTTTGCTCTTTATTTGCTCAGTTTCATCAGGACGTTCTGTTTGTTTTTTTTCCCCCACAGCTTTGAACT